AGATGTCACAAAATTCTGTGAACAAATCACCAGTTAGTGTAACTTTTATTTTTGCATGAAAGACAACAAAAGCAATATGATACCAACACAAATATTTAGCAAAATTCATGGGATCCAGGAATGTTATCTCGTTGAAATATGCTTTTGAAATAAACCCTACTTCAATTAGGATTTTTGAGGGTTATAATGTGCCATGGTTCACGGTTTCCAAAAAAAAAATTTAAGGCTCAAAGTTTATTGGTGCCCACCCATTCTTTGTGATGTTCTCTAGTCCTATGTTCAGTTAATTCAACATGAATGTTCATCTCTTAGGAAGAACTTTGTGATGGTTAAGGGACCAAAGAGCCTTTTGGAATAGAAGTCACCCTTTTTGTCTTCATGTTTGTAGTCACACGAATTTGTTCTTTGATGAGGATTTTTCTTTGTAATATTTTTGCTTCTCTTTTTTATTATTTTTTTATTTTATTTTCCCTAACTTTTTCCTGGACTAATTCTTTTGAATCGATAGTCTAACTGGATGCCCTAATTTTTGCCTAAGTCACTTGTCTTCAAGTTGTTGGCTTAGCGGGCTTTTTCTTTTTTCTTTCTTTTTATTGATTTGAACAAGTTGTGTGACATTGGCCTGTCTTGATTTGTTGAGAGAGAGCAATGACTACCTCGTTCTTTGATGGATGAGGGATTACCATTTTCATTTCACGTCTCTTCGACCATCGCGGTCTCCTCATAAGTGCATTCCTTTTGAAAAGTAAGTGTGTTTATCACTCAGGGTCACGGGGAAATATAAACATGTTTATTGAGTTTCTTCACCTTCCTTAAACAAGTATTTTCCGCCCATTTAGTGAGTATCAACGCTCAAGACACTATCGTTAGTGATCCGCGTGAAACCTAAAACTTAAACGAACTTCTAACTTAGACGAACTTCATCTTCTACCTCCAAACGTCATCTTTCATTTACGACACTCTATTTCTCCATTAAACCAAGCTCTAAAATATCATTTCTTCCATAAAGAAAACTCGAGAGCATCATTTATTTCATTAACAAATTTCAGAACTCCATCGACTCTTCTCTAACTTGAATGACACAAGGAAAATATGGATTTAAGTCAGCAATGTTAGCTGTTATTGTTTGTGTTGTTAATATTATTATTTTTGTTGTTGTTTTGTTGTTCTTATTATTGTTGTTGTTGTTGTTTTGTTGTTGTTTTGTTGTTGTTTTTCTTGTTGTTGTTATTGTTGTTGTTCTTGTTTTTGTTTTTGTTGTTCTTCTTGTTTTTGTTACTCTTGTTGTTGTTCTTGTTGTTTTAGTTGTTGTTCTTGTTCTTGTTCTACAGCTGCATTTTTTTCTTTTATTAAAAGACATACAACAACAGTTGTTTAATACAATTGTGGTTGTATGTAGCGCATGATCCAGTTTACTACTACGGAAAATAGATATTGATTGTAAATAACTCACTTACAATCACACCCTACCTAACAACGGTTGTTCAATCGTTATTATAGATCTTTTACAACCGTTGTTATATGTGTTTTCATAATAGTGAGAGTTCTTATTTGTTAGGCTACCAAAAATAAGACACGTCTTATTGGTATAGGTAGAACTTATTAATCGTTATAACTATTCTTTAACCATGAAGACTCATCCCTACACAATTTTAGGATCCCTCTCATTTCGATGTGAATTTGGCAACCACTCCTCCTTTCTCTTTAGCCTGAAGTGTTACATCCACTTTTTATCCTCTTCAACCTCGGGTGTCACAAAGTCCCTTAATATTATGTAACATGTTTTCACATACAAGAAGAAGTGAAAATGGTAGAAATATATTTATCACCCAAAGGAATGTTACAATGTTGAAGCAGAACTTTCAAAGAATGGGTGTTAGGATGTTGTAGGCATTGATGCCCTAGGTATTGACTGTTATCTTTAATATAATTTGTTGTGTTGGTGACTAAAGCAATAGGTTTATTAGATGTAGTACTGAGAGTGAAAAATGTTCTGAAATGATATTTAGGGCAGAAATTTCTAATAGTCCATCAGATCTTTCACAACATTGTAGATTTGATCATGTCCTTCAAATGGAGTGAACTTTTGTAGATAGCTCGGGTCACCAATGACATGGAAAGAAGCTATAGATTTAGGATACCATAAGCTTGTATATGCGTAAGTGTTGTTAGTGCTTAATGAACAAGGTTGATTACCAAATGAGGAAGGTAGACGAGCATGAGACAAAGGCCTGATCCAAGTGTTGATAGGTTAAAAAGGCACGTGGGGAGCTCCAAAATAAGCATTAACATAACCATAGTCTTAGCCAAAAGATCAACCAAAGTTTAGATATCTATGTTAAGGTTGGAATTTTATTTAAACATGTGCAAACATGTGAGAGTAGTATGTCCAAATTTGGAGTAAATCTAACATTGAATGTTGGAGTTGCGTCTTTGTGGTCATCTGCCACCGAGATCACCATGTGATCCAAAAATTCTTTTGATGGAGTTGATCCCAGGTTAATTAGACTGAGGTTGAAGGGATTCACACCAAGTAGAGGACGAGTATAAAGTGTTAGTGATGACATGTGTAGGTGAAGTATTAGTTACATCAATAATACTTTGTTTCTTAAACTTTTTTAGTTGAAATTCATTAACTAAAAGAATTACCTTAACCTCAACAAGATCCATTACATCAAATTTGCTTTAAATCACCAAAACAATAGGTGCAAATTTGGAGGGGGTAAGTTTCCAAGATAACATCAATGTGGTGACTATTATGGATATGATCTTCAATGAAGGAAAGAATGTCTTTCTTTTGTGAATAACAAAAAAATAGTCACAAATAGTTGAACGGATGAACATGTTAGACTGAAGTTCAACTCGAATGTGACGTTCTTTGGCAAGAGTTTGCATAGAGAAGTAGGCAAAAAGTTCAACTCAAAGGTGGCATTCCTTCCCATGAGTTTGTTTATGGAAGTAGGCAAATAGACAATCACATAATTCATAAGCATTAATGTAAACCGAGAACAAGTGTGAGAATCTCGCTCGATAATATAGATTCAAGTCAATAAAGTAGCATTTGATCATGATTGTGCCAACCTACATAATTAGGGTTAATTTTTACTGTGCGGAGATCTTCATCAATTAAGATTTTGAGAGGAACACGAGGTCAAACTACAAATTCAACCAGATTATGAGCGTTAACACATGGTTCGATTTGTTGACCCCATATTTTCTTCCATCAATTTCTCTAAAATCTTTAAAGAGAAGTATAACGAAAAAGAATGCACTTCAGACAAACCTTGTGAGTATAGATACGTGTTATAACCATGTGAATGAAGTGATGGTAGATTTGACGATACATGTGTCAGTCACACTTGTATTACAACCATAGCTCATATGTATAAACATAAACTGAGAACAAGTGTGACAATCTTGCTCGATATCGTGGATTGAAACCAAGAAAGTAGCATTTGATCACGAAGTGCCAACTTACATAATCTGAGTTGATTTTCATTGTGCGGGGATCCTCATCGATGAAGAATTTGAGAGGAACAGGAGGCCAAACTTCAAATTCAACCAGATTATGAGCGTTAACACATGGTTCGATTTGTTGACCCCATAGATGAAAGTTTTCTTCCATCAATTTCTCTAAAAACTGTAGAGAGAAGTATAACGAATAAGAATGCACTTTAGGAAAACCTTGCGAGTACATATAAGTGTTATAAACATGTGACTGAAGTGATGGTAGATTTGATGATACATTTGTTAGTCACACTTATATTACAACCATAGTTCATATGCATGAACGTAAACTGAGAACAAGTGTGAGAATCTCGCTCAATACGGTGGATTGAAGCCAAGAAAGTAGCATTTGATGACGATTGTGCCAACCTACGTAATCAGGGTTGATTTTCACAGTGTGGGGATCCTCATCGATGAAGAATTTGAGAAGAACACGAGGTCAAACTACAAATTCAACGAGATTATGAGCGTTAACATATGGTTCGATTTGTTCTCGCCATGGATAAAAGTTTTCTTCCATCAAATTTCTCTAAAATATTTTGAGAGAAGTGTAACAAATAAAAATGCACTTCGGATAAAGCTTGCGAGTATAGATAAGTGTCATAACCGTGCAACTAAATTGATGGTAACTAAATTGATGGTAATCCGACGATACATGTATAAGTAACACTTGTACAACAACCATAGTTCATATGCATGAAAATAAACCGAGAACAAGTGTGAGAATCAATAATGTGGATTGAAGCCAAGAAAGTAGCATTTAATCATGATTGTGTGGATTGAAGCCAAGGAAGTAGCATTTGATCATGATTGTGCCGACCTAACATATGATTTAATTTGTTGACATCATAGATGGGAGTTTCCTTCCATCAATTTCTGTAAAATCTCTAGAGACAGATGACAGATTTTTTCCATCAATTTCTCTAAAATCTTGAGAAGTCTAACGAAGAAGAATGCACTCCATGAAAAGCTTGGGAGTATAGATAAGTGTCAGAACCATGCAACTAAAGTGATGGTAGATCCAACGATACAAGTGTAAGTCACACTTTTACAACTGTCATAAAGTTAGTTATGTTAGCTTTACAACACACATCTTAGTTATGTTAGCTTTAAACAACAATAGCAACATACATTTGTCATAAGGTTATACTCTAAATTAATCAACATTTACAAATTGCCTTATCTTACTAAATTTTCACACAATTTTCTCATGACAAACTTATGTATACTTTGAACTCAATTTAGATGTTTTTCTTAAAGGGGCCATATTAAGTCCGTGAAACTATTTGATTCATAACAAAAATAAAGCAAAAACTTAGTACTTCAACTTTGAGATGCCTAAAGTACAAAAACAACCCTTATAAGGCTTAACAAAACAAAGAAGAGAACAATGTATATTGCCTTAAAAAACAGCCCTTCAACCTATCATTGAAAAACTACCTAGAGCCCCATAAAACCTAACTTCAAAAAAAGTTCATTCTCTCCACAAACCTTCACATAATGGAACATCCATTAGCATTTTCATCACTAAAAAACTCAAAAGAAACCGAGGGTGCTGATTGAAGTTGATAAGTTCCATATTGATTAACTAGGCTATAAGGACACGTGTAGGGTAAAGATGGAACATGATAAGAAGGATCACAAACTCTTCCCATAGGATATAACCTATTGTAAGCTGATGACACATAAGCCATGGGAGGGTAACATGTTTCTGATGGATAGAAAAACGATTGCTGACGTGTAGGGCTGAGATTCACTTGGTGGGCCATACCTTGATCAAGATTCTGGAATTGGAATCCAGTGTGTGATGGTCCATTCTTAGCTACTGAGCTCAAACCATTGTTTCCATTTCCGTTTCCGTTTCCATCTTTCTTTTTCTTCTTCTTATTATCAGAACCCTCTCCACCACCTACCGGAGTAACGTTGCTGTTTACCGGAGACTTCACCGGCAACTCACCGGCACTGGTTTTAGAGTACTTGTTCTTGTTTTTGGTTTCATTTTCACACTTGTTACCACTTTCAGTTCCCTTGTTTTGCAAGCTTTGTGTTTCTTTTGGTTCGTTTTCATTTTCATTCTTCTTCTTCTTCTCTTTGCCGGAGTTTTTTCCCTTCCCGTCGTCACTCTCCGGCCAAATCTCGGCAGGTTTCCCAGCTCTGACCAACTTCTTTAAAAGTATCTCAACATTAACATTTCCAGTAACTGTTACTTTATGCTGTTGTGAATCGATTGTTGCAGTGAAAACACCTTTATAGTTATGCATGGTAAAAACACAAAAACTTTTAGTGGAAAAAAAAAGGTACCTAAAGATTCAAAATTTGTAGCAAGTTTCTCTTTTTATTATTCTACACAAAAAAAAAAAAAAAAATTTTTTCTGCTTAGTACATGTTTGAAATCAAGGTATTTTGACAAATCACATTCTCTAAAGCCCAAAAAAGTGATTCGCAAAATTTAAACATGCACTTGCTAGTAAGAGTAAGAGTAGTAGTAGTAATAGTAAAAGTACCATCAATGCGCTTCAAAACTTTCTTTACTTTTTTTCTGCAACCTTCACAGTGGATAGAAACTTTCAAGAACCATGTCTGAAAAGATCATAAAAGAAAAATAAAACAAAATAAGCTAAAAATAACCAAGATGAGTAATGTGAGTGTGTGTGTGTTTTGTTATTTTGTATTTGGTTAGTACCTGATACTTCAAAGGTTCTACAGAAGGTTTTGGTTTTGCATCCATTAGAAAGAGGGAAGTGAAAGGGTTGATTTGAAGAGATGAAAGCACAAGAGAAAGAAAAAGGAGTGAGTGTTAATGGGAAGGAAGAATGTAGGAGTTGGAAGGAAGTGGGGGAACAAAGTGAACAGGTAAGTAAGGATGGAAGTATAATGTGACAATGACACAAAACAAGGACAGCTGCTGCATCATTATTTTACCATTCAATTCAACATCACTAGTAATACTTTTTACCTTGCCTAATTTTTTTGGTGTAAATTTGCTTACTTTAATATTATATGGGTAAAGTTGAGTACTTCAACTTAGACTTATCCAGATGTTAAATTTTAGAGTATGTCACCAAAGTTGTAATAAGTAGAGCTGTCACTTGTTGCATCAATAATAATAAATAATAAATAATAAATAATAAATAATAAATAATAAATAATAAATAATAAATAATAAATAATAAATAATAATAATAATAATAATAATAATAATAATAATAATAATAATAATAATAATAATAATAATAATAATATAAAATATTCAAGGATTAATAACTATTTCGCTTTCTATCGTATAAACGAGTTTTGAAAACATTCTTATAAAAAAATATAAAAGCTCAAAACTTAAGATACAAATCTTGCAAGTGTAAATACACTATCACTACGGTGTATGCTTCAATTCCTCGAATAATTGTTTTTGTTTTCTATTATATAACTTATAATTATTTCGTACAATTATATAATTATATTAAAATAAATAACATGTTTTATATATTTAATATTATTAATATATAATAAATATATTTAATATTATCATTCACTTACATATATGTTTAATATAATTATTTATTATTTAAATTATTTATATAAAATAATGTTTAATATTATTATTCACTTATATATGTTTAATAAAAATATTAATTGAAAATATTTAAATATATTAATTGAAAAAACAAATAATTAATAATATATAATAAACAATATAATAATAAATGATAAATAATAAATAATAAATAATAAATAATAATAAATAATAATAATAATAATAATAATAATAATAATAATAATAATAATAATAATAATAATAATAATAATAATAATAATAATAATAATAATATAAAATATTCAAAGATTAATAACTATTTCGCTTTCTATCATATAAATGAGTTTTGAAAAATATAAAAGCTCAAAACTTAAGATACAAATCTTGCAAGTGTAAATACACTATCACTACGGTGTATGCTTCAATTCGTCAAATAATTGCTTTTGTTTCCTAATATTATATAATTATAATTATTTCGCACTATTACGTAATTATATTAAAATAAATAGCATGTTTTATGTATTTAATATTATTAATGTATAATAAATATATTTAATATTATCATTCACTTATATATATGTTTAATATAAATATTTATTATTTAAATTATTTATATAAAATAATGTTTAATATTATTATTCACTTATATATGTTTAATAAAAATATTAATTGAAAATATTTAAATATATTAATTGAAAAAACAAATAATTAATAATATATAATAAACAATTTAGTAATATTATTTAAGCAATTCAACTTGAAAACATATAATAAATAATTTATTAAGTATAAAATAAATATTTAAATAATAAAATAATAATATTAAACATAATAAAATATTTTCTAACATATAATAATTATGTTTTAAAATGATTATGTTTCATAATATTAAATAATTATGTAACATTTACAAACACAATTATGTTTAATATTATTAATTTATTACTTAAATATTATCAAGTATAATTATTATATTTTGAAACATGATTATGTTATAAATGTTTCATAATTATTTAAATATTTATTTTATATTTAATAAATTATTTAATATATATTTTTAATTTAAATTGTTTAAATAATATTAATAAAATTATTTATATATTTAAATTATTTAAGTATATATATAATCATGTTTCAAAATATAATAATTATACTTGAATAATATTTAAATTATTTAATAAACTAATTTCAATTAATTAATATTATTTTAATATTGTTTTATTATTTCATTTAAAAATATATTTTAATAATATATTTATTTTTTAATATATATCATTTATTATTTATTATTTATTATATAGAATACATATAATATATTTATTATAAAGAAAGTGTATTATTACATATAAACATACATATAATAATTTTAATTAAAAATGTAAGTGTGATAAATATTTAAATAAATAAGAGTGTGAATCACGTAGAATAATATGTAATAAATAATTTAACAATATATTCAATAAATATTAGTGTAATAATATATAATAAACAATTTAATAATATTATTTAAATAATTTAAATTAAATATATATAATAAATAATTTATTAAATATGAATTAAATATTTAAATAATAAGTTAATAATATTAAGCATAATGAAACATTTACTAAATATGTTTCAATATATTTATGTAATAGACCTTTTCAAATACTTAAATAATAGTATTAGATGAATATTGTGATAATACGTATCTGATGAAAAGAAGTAACAATCAGAATGTTTTGGTTCAGGGACATGGATTTTTTTTGTATGCATTGTGTCATGGGTGACAGATCGTAGCTTTTGTATTTTAATCTTCCAACAATAAAATGATAATAAAAATGTTACGTGTAATTAAAAAATAATATAAAAAAAATTTGTCAATATAAAAAAAATAATAATATAAAAAAAATTTGTCAATATAAAAAAAATTTATCACATTAAAGGTTCTTGTAACTGAATTTTAAGAAGGTCAAAATAGGAGAATCTTCGTATGTTAAGGGACGAATTCAAATTTTTTTTATAAGTTTTTTTTTCCAAAACGCACTCATATATATGGCAGGGGCGAAGCTATTAAGCCAATATTCAAAGTATTTGTTGTCTTAATTATAGTTCCCCTTGAATATGTGCATCTTAAACTTTGATCTTGCATGAACTTTTTACCCTTTGACAATATCAAAAAGAGAAAAAGCCACGTGAAAGACGTGATAAGTATCATGGAAAATTTACAACAATATATATATATATATATATATATATATATATATATATATATATATATATATATATATATATATATATATATATATATATATATATATATATATATATATATATATCACTCAGAGGCGTTGCAAAAATAAATTGTTCAATGATAACGTGCACTCACATAGAATTATGTTAAAGTGAAAATGCATAAACATAATTAAACAATAACGCAGACAAAATGCAACATAAATTCATTACAAATTTGTCAGAATAGAGTCAGAGTAGAACAATATATAATAACATGCTCAAACAGAATAGCATCAAAGATATTTCAAATATGTAGAATTTATATCATAAAATACATATGATGATGAATTACAAATGATTAAAACATGACGTCACTATAAGCATATGGATTGAAAACACTTATCGATAATCAACAAAAAATTTGGAAGTGAACAGTCATGGAATTGCATCATACGTCAAATATATCGCACTCAATCAAATTTAAAGTGACATAGATAAGCAATGCACAAAATAAAAATTTACGAAACAAAGAGATAAGTGAAACGATATTACCTTACTAGACGAAAGACGTAGGACGCACTTACAAAACAAGGAACTTTCGAACGAAAGTTAAAACAATCGGAAAATATGCCTTTAAACTTTTAGACTTCAACGTTCTTACACTTTCATCTTTGTTTAAGTTCCCATTTGTGGCATTGGAGTGACAAAAGACACATAAACATCCTTTATTTGAGTTATCTTAGAGTATGTAGTCATGTTTAGTGATGTCTCCAAGAATTGTTGATTTGATATCAGAAGATCATCCACTTCAGTTGGACTTTATTCTTCCTATTTTTAAGATCATCTTCCTCCTCCTCAGATTTCACCACTTCAGGATGATCAGTTTCTTCTTTGGTGTTATTGAGTATGTCTTCTGAAGATACATCTGCATCATAAAAAGTAATATCTTTCCGGCATTTCTAGGATAAGATTCATCAAAAGAGACATGCACAAACTCTTCGACAATAAGTAGCAATAGAGGTAGTAGTAGAAGAGGAATTACCTACATTACTTTCACCAAGTATAACATCCTTATTTTTGTCTTCGTAAGTCACATGTTCCTTTTACTTTGACACCAAGTCAATGAATAGGGAAATGTCACTCGTCATATGTCTTGAGCATCTACTATCGAGAATCCACATTCTCTCTATGGAGCCAATACATTAAACCTATAAAATAAATCAAGATTGTTAGGTACCTATTTTTCATTGGATCCTTGAGAGTAAGTGAAAATATGTTGCACTTAGGAAATCATTAAAAAATACCTTTAGGAATAAGAAATCTCCTAAATTTGCATTTTAAAATGGCATGACCTTTGTTACAACAATAGTGACAAGTCAAATGATGATGAGATGGACTTTTGTTATTTGATTCATTTTCAACAAATTTGTACCTTTTGTATGATACATTTAAAGATCTTTTAAATTTTGTAAGAGTGGCTATTGGTTCTAAAGCCTTGTTCAATTTGACTTTTAGAGTATTAACCTCTTTTTTGATGATGGGCATAAGATTCATTTTGTCAAATTAACCAACTTCTTCAAAAGGACATAGATATATCTTGATAGTTGTCTATTATTTCTCGAAATGGAAAGAATAAATCCCCTTAAAATATAGAGCATAAAGATGTGATAGATTTCATCAAATAAAATATTTTGTGTTGTTTTAGAATACCACAGACACTTACTATTTATCGAGGTTTAATGTTCATCGATAGTAAAATGGTAAGATATGTTGAATCGAGAAGTATAAAACTATTAGCATTAATACTTTATCGTGCTCAAGAAAATGGACAAGTTAAAACTAAAAATAACGTCTTAATGAATTTAATAAAAAACACATAAACCAAAAGTCATGAAACTGACATGAGACATTAAATAAAAATTTATGGAATTATTATATAGTGGCAACAAAAGCTATACCCTTCAAATTGGTTTATGTAAAAG